CATATCTTCCACCTCATTCAAAAATGTATAAATGGAATGCTTAAATGATCTGAGATGTCGTATAGAATGCATAATGATCTGGGCTGTGGTAAAGAATGCTTAAATGATCTGGGCTGTAGTATGGAATGCTTAAATGATCTGGAATGTGGTATGGAATGCTTAAATGATATGCGATGTCATATGGAATACTTAAATGATCGGGGATGTGGTATGAAATGCTTAATTGATTTTAGATTTTAGATTGCTGTATGACATGCTTAAATGATCTGGGATGTGGCATAGAATGCTTAAATTATTTGGGATGTGGTATTGATTGCTTAAATGATCTTGGATGCGATATAAAATGTTTAAATGACCTTGTATGTGGTAAAGACTAAAATATCATTTCAACACTAGCGAAAAAGAAAAGGGGTCGAAAGAAAATATTATCAATACGAGAAATAGAAATAATAGTAGACTTGAGTTCAATTTCCTTTAAGAAACAAATTTTGTAACTTTCAACCGACAGCAACAGTGATTCACAAAGTGGGCGGTACCGCCCACGGAGGTAGGCGGTGGAGAGATCCAGGTGGTGGTTATAAAAATAGTGGGCCGCCAGAGGGTGGCATTGCCTCATCTAAACCATAGCATACATCACACGCCCATTGTACTTGATGTTTGTTTTACCTTCACTTTACAGTTTATCCCATTTATATAACAATTATTATGGAAAATACAAAGATACACATTTAACATGCAATACTAGCATCAAGAAAATCCAGCCTTGCGTTAGGGTTGTCTCTATACTCTTTGGGTCCGTTAAAGTTGTGTTTTGATACGCAAGAAGGCAATAAGCCCCCAAAAGTTTAGGAACTACTGCATTAAATGTCCTGCCAATGAACGCCGAATAATTCTTGTATAGAAACTACTATTCTCACCCTTACCATTCCCCTACGTAATGTCTCAATGCCTAAGCAAAAGCTTGAATTAGATTTTTGTTATCCTAAATTACCTAAGTTATAATAACATATCCCAGTAACAGTGTGCACATTCCTAAACTAGCGAGTTGCGTCATTACAGTATGATTCAACAAATTTAGTTACCTGCTTGTGGCGCCTCGGTGTGAAGTATTGGTTAGCGAAGTTCAATAATTAGCATTTATCGAGGCACGTTCCAAGACTGCCCGTAACTTTAAAGTTTAGCTTTGTTGGGTGTTGTATCTATAACGCGCACGGTAGGAGGATAGGTTAAATTTCAGGAACAAAACTTTACAACTGGTATATACATAAAAGGGTTCAAATGATCCGCAACAAATTTCTACGTTTGTCAACTCTGTAAAGATGTGATTCCACTTTACCAGCGTTTATTGTGGATTCCAAAAGAATACCCTCATTACCACTGAATAGCAAAAAACCGGTTTGTCGAAAAAGTGGACCCATTAACATGCGATCTCATCTAAATACAAAATCGGCCGTCTGCCAGAAAAAGCTGCAAACATGACTACAAACTAGGAGACACTTAACTACGGAAGCATTCAAAACTACACCCCCAGATCATCTAAGCACCCCATACCACTTCCCAGATCATTAAACATTCCATGCCACTCCCCAGATAAGTTAAGCATTCTATACATCTCTCCAGATCATTCAAACATTCCATAGAAGATCATGTAAGCATCCCACACTACTTTCTAGATAATTTAAGAATTTTATGTCACACCTCAGATAATTTAAGCATTCCATACCACTCCGGATATCATTTAAATATTCCACACTATTTCCCATATCATTTAAGCATTTCATGCCACACCCCAGATCATTTAAGTATTGTATACCACTTCCCAGATCATTTAGACATTTCATGCCAACCACAGATCATTTAAGTATTTCACTCGCCAGATCAGATAAGCATTCCATAATACTTCCCAAATAATTTAAGTATTCCATACCACATCCATTTAAATTCTATACCACATCCATTTAAATATGCCATAACACTTCCCAAATCATCTAAGCATTCCAAACAGTATCCAAGTTCATTTAAGCATCCCATACCACTTCATAGATCATTTAAGCATCCCATACAACTTTGTAGATCACTTAAGCATTCCATACCAGTTCCCAGATCATTTAAGAGTTTCATACCATTCCACAGAACATTTAAGCATTACATACCACTTTTCCAGGTCATTTTAGCATTTTATATCACACTCGTGATCATTTGAGCATTTAATAACACTCCCCAGATCATTTAAGATTTCCATACCACTTCCCAAGTCATGGAAACATTCTGTACCAGGCCCCAGATAATTTAAGTATTTTATGTCACACCCCAAATCATTTAAGCATTCCATACCACTCCCCAGATCATTTAAGCACTTCCTTCCACACCTCAAAACATTTAAGCATTCCATAGCACGTCCCAGATCATTTATGCATTCCAAACCACTCCCCATATCATCTAATCATCCCATGCCATAACCCAGATCATTTAAGCATTCCATACCAATCCCTAGATAACTTAAGCATTTTATGCCACACCCCAGAAAATTTAAGTATCCCATACCACTCCCCAGATCATTTAATCATTCAATTTTACCTCCCAGATCATCTAAGCATACCACACCATCCCAGATCATTTACGCATTTCACACCACTTCCTAGATCATTTAATCCTTCCATACCACGTCTCAGATCATTTCAGCATTCCAAGCTCCAAGATCATTTAAACATCTCATACCACTTCCTACATCATTCAAGCATTCCATGCTGAATCCTAGATCGTTAAAGAATCCTATACCACTTCCTAGATTATTTAAACATTCCATACAATTTTACCAGAATATTTTAGTATTTTATATCACACCGCAGATTATTTAAGTATTCTATAACTCTCCCCATCATCATTTAAGCATTCAATACCACTCCTCGGATGATGTAAGCATCACATACCACTCTCCAGATCATTTAAGCATTCCATACAACTTCACCAATCATTCTAGTATTCCAAACTGCATCCAAGATAATGTAAGCATCCCATACCACGACTAGGTCATTTAAGCATCCCTTACCAATCCCCAGATCCTTTAAGCTTTCCCTAAAACTTTCCCGGGCTATTCAGCATTTATGTCACACTCGGAATAATTTCAGTATTCTATACATCTCACCAGATCATTTAAGCATTCCTACCACTTCCTAGATCATCTAAGAATTGCATGCCACTCCCCAGATCATTTCAGTATTTCATACCACATCTCAGATCATTTAAATATTCCATACCACTCCTAGACCATTTATGCATTCCATTCCACTTCCCAGATCATTTAAGCATTTTATGTTACGCTCGAGGTTATTTAAAAATTCCATACCACACCCAGATCATTTTAGCATTCCATATCACATCCTCGATCTTTTAAGCATTTCACACAGCATCAAAAACGAATCTACGAGAAAACAGTGTCCCTTCTTTCCCTTCCAGACCAATGTACAAATAACATGGGGTGTTATTCATTGTAGGGATAAGAATAATCTTTAACATAAAAAAGACATCCTCTCTCAAGTCTCCCAATAAATATGACTCAAGATAAACCCTCCCAAAACAGAAATCATTATCCGGAATTCATCGGCCCTGTATCTATCATAAACATTCATTATATGGAAAAAGTAAATACTGAGCAATTCAAATACATCGGTGTATGGATCAGGTTATAACAAATTTACTATAGAAGATAAGGACATTGGACATAGAATATGATGCTTTAGAAATAATTTCGCCCAATACCGCAAATTGGTACAAAGCCAAAATATTGAAGATTCGATCCATGTGCTTAAGTATCCTTCTCGGCTCGACTTTCATATGGATGTCATGCCTGGCTCCAAACCCGTTCAGAAATATCTAAACTTTCATTTTTTAAAGCAGTCATTAAAAATAACTTCGAACAAATGAAGCTTTGTAGGTCTTAGCGAAAACTATTTGTGACGCTACAGAATCCCAAAGAACTGGCTCAAATAGCAGAACCCATATCCCTTGAAGACTTTCAACAGTAGTAACAACTAAAATGGATAGCGAATTTAACATGAAGAGAAAATACTGGCATAATCAAGATGCTGACCACACTACGACAAACAAAAGGTTCGGAAGGAAACCTCCATACTAAAAAGAGCAATAACAGTTAGTGGGCTTGAGAAACCTATTTTAATGAAAATTTGTTTTAATAGAAAGATTTTATAAATTTCAACCGAAAGCAATACTGGTCCTTGATCAATGAATGCCGAATGTTTCCTTATAAGGAAACAGATATCACTATCACTACCAATAGCGATGTTCTCTATCTCGAGTCAGGCGTAGAAATCAATACTGGGTTATCAATAACGTTTCTTACTAAGCATCTACAAAACTCCATGAAACGCATTACACGCTGTACCATGAAATGCGTTCTACTCTGTACACTGTATTGTCTGATGGGTTAAAGAGCGCAAGCGTTGGATTGGGTTTACCATTTGTGGCAACGTTACTCTTCATTGTTTGGTTGCCATCTTTGTCACTTACTACCGATCCCATACTGACATTACTTGTAGGCCTCTTCAGTTTTCATTTACCGCTGATGTCTGTTCTGTTCGGTATTCACGTGTTCTTGGTACAACTTTGCTAATATTGCCTGAAAAAAAAAAAACCCAAGACGATTTGCAATTTCAAAGATAGATTGTCTCAACAAGTGTTCGATGGTCAAACGATCTCGCATTCAGTCCGCTTACCCCGGCTATACTGTCAAACCTTATACTACTGCTTTAAATATTACGTAACGCATACGTCTGGATCTATTTATGTAAATGAAGGCAGGACGAAACCATCCGGTGGACTGCTGCCTAATTTTTGGTCACTTTCACTTTAATGTCATTAATTTCTCCATTTTTTTATTATTATTATTATTATTATTATTGTTGTTGTTGTTGTTGTTGTTGTTGTTACTACTACTACTACTTTTTATGCTGTCACGCTGACTTTCTCGTACTTCTTCTTTTATGTCTTTCTTCTTTGCTTTTTTCTTCTTTTCTTTCTCTTCCTTCTCTTCATCTCAGTTTATTGTTCTACCTATTCTATTATCATTATCGCTTTTTTCCAACATCATCTCTCCCTTTTCTGTTCCTTTTTCTTTCTTTCTTTTTTTCTGTTTCTTTTTCTTCTTTTTCCTCTTCGTTTTTCTCCCAAAATCGCTGTTGTTACAGCGTCTTTATCTTCTTGTATCTTTCCTGTCGGTTTCTTTTTCGCCATTTTCTTTCTAATACTTTTTTTTCTTATTTGCATTATTTTGTTTTATTTTTTTCATTATTTCTTTCTAATCCACTTTTTCTTTTCAACTTCTTTTTCTTCTTTATTATTACTTAGCTTCTTTATCGCTTCCGTTTCTTTTTCTCCTTTGTTTTCTTTTGGATTTCTTTTTCATTTTTTCCATCTTCATCATTTCCTTTGACTTATAATTGTTGTGCTTTTTATCATCGTTTTCTTTTTGATTGTTTTTTCTTCTCTTTCTTTTCGAATTCTTATTTTTTTTTCTTCTTGATATTTTTTTTCTACTTCTTATTTCTTTCACTATCATCATTCCTTTTCAGTTGCTTTTTCATCTCTTTCTTTTTCTGGGTATTTTTTTTTTTCTTTTTGTTCGTTGCCTTTTTCTACTTCATATTATATTTGCTCATTTATTTCATCACCACTTTCTGTTCGTTTTTTTTTTCTTTTATGTCTTCTCTTTGTTTTTGATATTTTGTCATCGTTTTTCTTTACGATTTCTTTTTCTTCTTCATCCTTTTCTTCTGATCATCATCATCATCATCATCATCATCATCATCGCCACCCCTCACCACCACTAGCATCACCGTCATCATCATCTCTGAGCTGTTTTTTCTTTAGCTTTTCGGCTAGTTTTTCTTTTCGATTTCGTTTTCTCCTTCATCTTTTCTTTCATGTAATTATTAGTCTATTTCGTCAACTCTTTTTTTTTCTTTGTTTCTTTCTTCTTCTTCTTCTTCTTCTTCTTCTTCTTCTTCTTCTTCTTCTTCTTTCATTTCTTCTTCTTCTTTTTATTAATAGTATTATTATTTTTGTTATTATTATTATTATTATTATTATTATTATTATTTCATTGTTTCGTTCTACTCCCCCCCTCCCAACCGCAGGAAACATTTGGGAAGAGCTCTATGGCTGCTTAACCGCACAGCATAATAAGAAAGAGAAACAACACGAATCAAATGAGAAAGGAAGAGAAAACGGGGGTGGTAAAAATCGATGGCGATCTGTATCGATTTGATGGGATCTGATCGGAGGGGGAGGGATGTGCCAAGGAGATTATGCGACTGTTCTTAGCGTTATTCAAATATCACAGGTCGGTTTTCCTCCACATCTACATATACATGCGTACACAGTTACATACCGATACACACACACACACGTGCGAATATGGCACACGAATACTCACTAGTATATAATCATTTAAATATATAATCATTTAAATACATACAAAATCATACAAAATGAAACGTAATACAAACATATATGTACACATATAGATATACAGTATTTATATACATTATATATGTGTGTGCGCGCGTGCGCTGACGCGTGTGTGTAGTACATATATATGTATTTGTAAGACACACAGAGTTACACTAACAGAATTAGCATGTTCAAGGACAATAATGAAAACGTGCAATATATATATATATATATATATATATATATATATATATATATATATATATATATATATGGGTTGGGATCATAAATAATTTCCGTTATTGTTTATCTGCTTCTTTCTTTAAAAAAATGGAGTACAATTATATTTTATTCAATTATATATATTCACCGTTACTTACAATGACTTGTTGTCACTTTTCAGGCAACTCATCCATACGTTTTGAGTAATATCCTGCAGCTTTTGATTTACTTTTCATTAAAGAAAGTTTTCTCCATCTAAACTTTTTACTGCGATCGAAACAGGTAATGACCGGTTGTTGCAAGGTCAGGTGAATATGGCGTGTAAGGGTAGAACAGACCAATCTAGTTCCAAACTTTTAAAGATCAATACAAATGCAGAATTGTCCTGGGTGTGACAATAGACTACATCCGGCAGCAAGGATTTTATTCGGGAGGTTTTGAGGAGCGTGAAACCATTTCTTAATTGATGTTATTCTCAGATCCAACTTGACTTGGGTGGTAGAACCTGTTAGGGTCCCAGCTATGGACAAACTGTGAACCACCTAAACACTATGAAAGTATAAAAATACATTTTTTATAATAAATTATAGTAATTTATTTTTATATAAAAAATACCAACAATACGTCTTTGTAGTCAAAATACTATTTATCTGCAGTTAAAGGCATACAATCACGTTATAAATATTTAGATTACGGCATTAAATATCCCATAGAGGTTGATATACCGCTAAACAAAATGAACCAACCAAACCAAATTATAACATCAAAACTACAACATAAACAATATCACGCTTCTAGTAATTATGTCCACACAAATGCACAAAAGCTGAGTATCATCTACCATGTATTCAGTTGGCAATGTAGAATAGCATATATCATATTCTATTACTTCAAAGCTTCCAAGAAAATTAAACTTCGGCAACAAATGACCCATAAGGAGTTGATATGCCGTTAAACAAATAAATCACAAATGAAGAAGGACGTGTCCCTGTGTTTTATAAATTATGCAAAAGCGTTCAATAAAGAATACCACAAAGATCTGTTGGAACTGCTTAGCAACCTTGTCATATTTAGGAAAGATATTAGAATAACCAAGAACCTATGCTGGCAGCAAGACGCCTGCATACGGATAGAAAATGAGTTCAGCAGATATACAAAAATAGAAAGAGGTATAAGACAAAATGTCTTCTCACCGGAATTTTTCAACTTATACAACGAGGCACAACTTATACAACGATAGCAGATCCAGATTGAGGAATCGAAGAGCCGAGTTCGAATTCCAGTCGAATCCATCACATTCACTTACGTGCTAATACTCTTGGGAAAGGTATGAATCCTTTTCTTCTCCCCCCACCAGCTATCTAAGATCGGGTTCTATAGCCTTGGATGGCAACTGGTCTACTGCAGAAAGAAATGGCAACGTACTGCGGGAAAAAATGTGCCTCGTTAGTCATGTATCGAAAGATACATGATCGCCTATAACAAGAGCGTCGCTCTTTATTATGTTCAATCATTACGAGGTTGATGCTGGTAGTATGACCGAAGAGGTTCAACCTCCTCAACAGTAACCTATAATTTATCTGCTTTTTTTTTTTTACAGATATTTATGTGGTAGTCTGGCAAAATTGCGTCTGATAGGAAAGGGCGTATAATGCAGTAGTTCATCACTGAATTCGTTCATGCAGAATGAAATTCGCCAATTAATATTCATCTTACTGAGACCAACCACTGCATGTGAGCATAGTTAGGTGGTGGGTGAAGGCGTAAGAGATATGTGTGAACAGCCACGTTTTTGCGGACCTACTCAGCTGCCAATTCAGTTAGTTGACTTCGACTTGAAAATGCGTAGCCAATGGTCGTGACTTTGTGGGAAAATTATGATTTGCTTTAAATGAAAACTGGCTCGATTTAAGGGTATGCTTCTCTTTCAGAGCGTCTTACAAAAACGTAAGTATTTCAATGGCCAAGCATTAGAATGTTGATTTTTGGCAGATAGGGTCAGTCTGAGTAGTTTTCAGCTTCCTCTCTGTTAGATAGATAGATAGATAGATAGATAGATAGATATGAGTAAAAATTGTGATAGCTAGATGCGAATAAAAACTGCGATGTATAGATATCAACAATCTGTAATATATAAATACTGAATATATATATATATAGAGAGAGAGAGAGACAGACAGACAGACAGACAGACAGACAGACAGAGACTCACATCCAAAAATCCAAAATGTTACTTGCCAAAACAGCTAAAATAAAAAAAAAACAAAAAACCTGAAATAAGAAAAAAATTCCAAAGCAAAGAGTAAAAGACAAACACCTACTTAGGTAATAAACAAAAGTGCTCAACACCCAGTCTATCCAGACAGAGCAAAAAAAAAACGTCAACCCTCAATGAGGCATAACTCGAGTCACTAATTTAGTTTCACGCTCTCGCGACTTTCTAGTCGCCTGAAGATCACAAGAGTGTGAAACTTAAGTAGCGACTCGATTTATGCTTCGTATATAGATAGATATAAGATCTCTGACTCCGTCACTATCTATCCACCTTTCTAAACTACTTGAATATAGCCATCTGTACACAAAATTGATCATACTACAACAAAAACAATTTTTTTTTCAAGTGACTAAATATAATATTCATCCATTTTTAATATATTTATTTATAATTTCCAACATTTAGTGACTCTAATATTTGCATTGCAACAAGAAAATGCCCTCCAAAGAACAAGCAAACTTCATACATTGTACGGTTCTTAAAAAGTGTATATCTAAGAAGATCCAGTATTTTTTTATTGTCTGCTTTCGACTATCAGACACGATTGGCATATGTTACTTTCTCAAACAATTTCATTTCATTGTTCGCGGTACAAAAGCTTTGAAAAATTATAAAACATCGACAATATAGTTTAATTTTCACTGTCCGGATATTCGTTAAACTCGTCGCCAAATCAAAATCATGTAGACTTCTAAAATATTCAAAAGAAAAAAACGTTTAAACCTACCTATAGCTGCACCGATTGAAAATATGCTAGAAATCCTTAAAAGTATACAAGAGAAAAATCTCCAGTGTACCTCAAACATCAGCCTGTAACTGCATAACACAGTACGAATGACCACTAAACGGTAACTGCCTACAAACTAACATACTACCTAACGCACACTTCACCTTTATCCATTCCTTTTCTTCCATTACCAGAACTGGCCGTCTTTCTTATTTACACCATTTATAGTCTGTCTATATTTCTGAGATGAGGTATTATGTACATTATTTACATTAGTCGGACTATTGTCCTCATCTTTGTCGCCATATTTATCACAACGTTTCGGCCGTTGTACGCACCGGTCTTCTTCAGGTGGTTGGAATATCGAACTGAACCTTTTATTTCGCTCACCGGGGTAGAAGAAGAAGGCCGGAGTGATAAATATGGCGACAAAGATGAGGACAATAGTCCGAATAATGTAAATAATGTGCACCATTTATATTTGGAATATCGTCCTCATCTTTGTTGGTGTTATCACAACGTTTCGGTCGCTGTTCCCTCCAGCCTTCCTCATCTGGGTAACTACGGGACAATGGCCTAGTAGATAAAAGTGTTAATATGTGAATTTGTTGACATAGTGGTTGTTAGTTCAATCCCTGGGTGTGACAGTGTGTACTTATACTCAGTGGAAACGGGTGAGCAATAACAGAACAGCACTAAATAAAAAATAAGAACTGAGCGATATCCCTAGACATGAGCAATAGAATGAGAACAGTCTACTCCCGCAGATTAAATAAAGGATTCAATTCGGGACTCCCTGTAGGTTACCCAGATCGATATACACTAGAGCAAGGTGGGAGGGCACAACAGCTAAAACGTTGTGATAACGACAATAAAGATTAGGGAAATATAGTGTAAATAGAACTTCTCATCCCAGAAATTCAGACAGAAATAGCCATTTTGGATTTTTCCTCTTCCCGCCGGTTGCGTTTCGGACTTTTGAGACTTAATATTTATTTATTTTGTTTATCATGCAAAAAGATGATCGACAAATTGATGCCGTTTTGTCAATCATGTCGTCTTCTTATCTACGCATGTCACTTTGATTCTCGTTGTCGTCTCACTTTGTTCTTCCTTGTCTCGCAAGTGACGTCTTTTATTGATTCAATGCCTCCGTCCTTTCCCTCTGAGTGATCTGACGGATCGCTCACGCAAAGAAATTTCTCAGCTCTAAGGTGAATCATAACGCCGTCTGCTTGACCAACAGCACGAGGCTAAGGTTTTGTTTTACAGCTGATCATTAATTTGCTCCTTCGCGTCGCAACTGAAAGGCAATTCGATGCAGCTGACTTTTAATCTGCAGCTGATCAAATAAAAACCTTAGATCAAACA